ATCAATCAAGGCATGATCTTGCTGGTATGATGGAGGCTATCGGTTAACATGTGCAAACGACCTCTTATTGGTTGCTAGCTCGTCCATTATCGGAGGTCAACGGGCAAAGAAAGGGGTCCCATTTTGCGCGTTTTTGACGGATTTCTTTGCTTTTTTCGCCACTGGGGCATTATTCAGCATCTCCACTTCCACTATGAACCCAACCCAATCCTATCGTAATCCCTCGCTTTTAAGTTGCTGACAAAAGCTTCAACAGTGAATCTCTCACTTTGCAATGAAAGAATAGGAAAGTACCCGGAAAACTACATTTCTCATATGAGAATTTTTTCAAGAAGTTCAATCTCACTCACAGTTGTCAAAAGATGTATGGGTACGTTAGCTAATCCCCAAAATACGTACGGTAATTTGTGATACTGTTGTTTAAACCTACACTCTGAGAAAAATGCAGTCCGAGTTTTTTTTTTTGGCAACCTGTCCACTTTTGAAATCTGAAGTTGTGTGAGAACCATTTTGCATTCTCCGTCACATCCACTTGGTTCGGCGTTCTGTGACGCGCAAGTTTGAGGATGGAGATAATAAGCTTTACCACGTGAGAAAACCATTTTTTCCATTTGTGCACCTACGTTTCACAATCAGGACCAGGTTACAGTCAAAATGCAAGCCCCACCACCTTTCCTCAAAACGGACGTTCGCAGCCGGAGGGAAGAAAGGGGAACTTTTTCTGCAATACCCAGTCCTACAAAAAGCTTCATTGCGAGCTTTCTCAAATTTCTATGGAAGCGGCCATAGCAATAACTTTTAGGCCAATAACTGAACGTAGCCTTCCTAAGCCCCCTACGTCCGCTCTCTCGCAAAAGCCAAACACCATTGTCGTTGGCATGGATCAACGGACGGTCGACCCTGTCACGGGCGCGCACTGGTTTGCATGGAAGAAAGGTGCGTACAGATGTACCAACGTGGAGGAAAGAAAGCTCATTTCAAGAGCAGTGACTTCTGATATATCGTACTTAATCGCAATAGATTTCGTTTCTCGTCCCCTCTTTTTTGAAACTTCTTCATTAGACATAAATAGGAAAAAGTCAGACTCTTGGAGCAGCACGTTTTTTTTTAATCGTCATCCGAGATGTTGATTTCCGTAACAGCGGTGGTAGGTCCCCCTACAGCTGACACAGTTTGAGCCGGGAAAAATATGAAAATACTCCTTCACTGCAATAATAGAAATTTATTTGATCTTTGAAACTAAACTTTTTGACAAGTGGTTCTTCTGTGTTCTGAGCAAAAACTGGCAGCTTCGTTTATTCTTTAGGTCCTGTCATGGGGATACCAACCAGAAGCAACCCTTCTCTGTAAGAATGGAAGGTATATAAATTTCAACAAATATTCAATTCAAAGAAGATCACACCATAATACAAATAGGTTTAAGGTGGTACGACAGAAAATCTATGCGGTTAGTGGAAAAGGCGCGCTGTGAAGCGAGACGAAGCAGTGAGTACTTCAGTTATGCGCACAGTATGATTTCCACTGATGGATGTTGTTCAGATTCTCACGATCGGGCCGACGTTGGCAACATCTTTCAGTTCATCTTTTTGCCTAAAATATCTGTGTCCAAATGATGAAAAGCCTGGAGTGGACATAAAAATACCTGATGCCCTTACTGCTGCACGAGCAACCACATCCAGCGACTATCCTGACGAGCGCATAACCTCGCCTACTCCCGAACAATTTGTGACTAGTACGCCTGAACTGGAGACGACGGATGATGGCGAGAGGCCTGATGGCGAAGAATACGACAGGACCACTACTGCTGCACGAGCAACCACATCCAGCGACTATCCTGACGAGCGCATAACCTCGCCTACTCCCGAACAATTTGTGACTAGTACGCCTGAACTGGAGACGACGGATGATGGCGAGAAGACTTCTCCTGATGGCGAAGAATACGACAGGACCACTACTGCTGCACGAGCAACCGCATCCAGCGACTATCCTGAACGAGAGCGCATAACCTCGCCTACTCCCGAACAATTTGTGACTAGTACGCCTGAACTGGAGACGACGGATGATGGCGAGAGACTTCTCCTGATGGCGAAGAATACGACAGGACCACTACTGCTGCACGAGCAACCACATCCAGCGACTATCCTGACGAGCGCATAACCTCGCCTACTCCCGAACAATTTGTGACTAGTACGCCTGAACTGGAGACGACGGATGATGGCGAGAAGACTTCTCCTGATGGCGAAGAATACGACAGGACCCCTACTGCTGCACGAGCAACCACATCCAGCGACTATCCTGACGAGCGCATAACCTCGCCTACTCCCGAACAATTTGTGACTAGTACGCCTGAACTGGAGACGACGGATGATGGCGAGAAGACTTCTCCTGATGGCGAAGAATACGACAGGACCACCACTGCTGCACGAGCAACCACATCCAGCGACTATCCTGACGAGCGCGTAACCTCGCCTACTCCCGAACAATTTGTGACTAGTACGCCTGAACTGGAGACGACGGATGATGGCGAGAAGACTTCTCCTGATGGCGAAGAATACGACAGGACCACCACTGCTGCACGAGCAACCACATCCAGCGACTATCCTGACGAGCGCGTAACCTCGCCTACTCTCGGACAATTTGTGACTAGTACGCCTGAACTGGAGACGACGGATGATGGCGAGAAGACTTCTCCTGATGGCGAAGAATACGACAGGACCACCACTGCTGCA